CGAACGTGGACATGAAAGTTACTGTGAGAGTTCAGGGTGACAGCTTGTCAGTCTTTGGAAACGTGATCATATATCTGATCTTTAAGTGTTTGGGGTTTTTTTGTTTGTTTATTTGTTTTGTTTTGTTTGTTTGGGTGTTGGTTTTTTGTTTGTTTGGTTGGTTGGTTTTTTTACTCCCTGAGGTGCTTATATGCATCTTTCCTGAAAATACTCACTAGAACTCAGGAGGGGATGCCAATTCAACATAGATCTGTATGCTTAAGCATCTCAAAGATTCAAATTGTTTGAATGAGGCAGAGTATCATCTGGCAAGTAAACAAGGTTTTTATCTGCTGTTATTTTTCTTTATAACATTCATAGCTCAAATACTTTCATGGTACTTACATGAGCCAGAAACCTATGAGAAAAATACAACATTCAAATGCATTAAACAAGTCCAAGACCCTCAGCCTAGTCACAAGAATGTGGAGAATGAAGTAGTTAGATTTGTTTGTTGTACAACTGATTCAGGAGACTGTCACTGTTAGGATCTGAGGGTATTTTAAAAGAAGGAAGCAAGCCCGTATAATTTTAGAATACAATCAAATGGGATTACTTCCATGCTTGGATTTGTCTGGAAGGCCAAGCAGAAGGGAGATTAGATGCTCACCAATCTATTTTACTGGCACAGTTAATTTGTTAATCTTGAGGGCCACGCGATATAGTTTATTCCTGTGCATTTTAAATACCAAATGAAAGTGGTGTTTGTATATGAATCCAAATTATTAGACTGAAGGGCACAAGAGTTCTGAGACACGAAGGAATTATACAAGGAGATGGGCACTTAGTGCCCATCAACAACACCTGTTCCTGAGCCATAAGGTAAGGAAATAATAGGAAGCTTAGTATTTTTAACAACACATCTATGCTCTGCAATGGATATGCAAGCCCCAGAAGACCCTAAAAGATCCCCAAAAAGCAGCGAACTGGTCTCCTGTGGAACTGGAAGCAATATAATTTGGTCAACCAGCATGGGTATTTCTAGCAGTGCATTGCTTTGCATATTGTTGCAATTTCCTTAGACCACTCCATTAAGATTCCTGCCCTTTTTGAACTGAAAATTATCCTAATTAGTCAAGCACTTTCTCCTCTGTGCTACCCAGGGTGCTCAGCTGAAGCAAAAAAACTAACAGAGAGGGAGGAGCCTGCTTCAGTTCCCTTCTCCTTGAGGTGCCTAGAGAGACCAAGAAGTAGGCTAGATTGGGGGAGGGTAATGCACTTGATTGATTGTCATGAAATCCCTAGCAAATGCTCTGGAGCAAAGCTGGTGGAATCCCACGCTGGAGCAATTCAAAACTCTTCAGAACGGGTGGAGGAGAGGCAGAGTAACGCGCTGCGTCTGGAAAAAAGGAACAAAGCGGAAGGTACCTCCTTTTAGCAGTTACCTTTTGCTCCAGTTCCTTCTGGGCTGTTAAGTGCCTACAGCTGAATGCACCACTTGAAAATTTCAACCGATATATACTCTCAGTCAACTCACTGTTAATTTATACTACACTGAACAAAAGGTGCTGTGGTAAACTACGTTCCTGCCCATTCTGTGGGTCACATGAGCAACAACCTCAGCTACAGGACAGGAGAACTTTGAGAGCTGCAAGACGTTTTTCTTTAAGCCCATGGTGCAACAGGATTTTAATCTTCCTTAAAGATTCCTCTGCCTTTGGACATCTACTTCAAAACCATCGCCGCAAGCTGAACTATTCTGTTTTCCTCTCCACCCTCCGCAGAATCAGGTGGAATATGCTTTCCGTCTTGAAAACAGAAATCTCATTGCATTCAAGCTAACGTTTATTATTATTAGATCATGTAGTTGGACAGGCAAATGTAGTCTCACAGGCTGAGAATGGGGGAGAGAGGAGGAACAGTACCTGTAGAGAAGATGCATGTAGAGCAACACCACACAAAAATTAAACACACCGCTTCTGATATCAAAGGCAACCGAACTACAGTATTTGGTCATGTATACTTAAGAATAGAAATATTCACTGGAAAATTACAGGAAACTCACAGAAAAGTAACAAAAGTAATCCTGGTAGAAAAAGAGTAAACTTGCCAAGAAAAGTGAAGATGTGCCCAAGGGCACGACTAAGTCACTAAAGCCTGCTATGAACAGTGCTGTGCAGCTCTGCCTTCTGGGTTCATCATTCAACAACAGTGCAGAGAACTGATACTGAAAAAGTCGGGATAACGTTTAGTAGCGAGAGCTGATCCTTGAACGCTGTACTGACACAATCCATAATACCTCTGGATCCTATTAGCACAACTGAAGACACCATGTGGTGATGCTCTCACAGTGGTCAGCCCCATAAGAAGGGATTCATCTCCCTCTGGCAGGGGGATCTGAGCTTCTGGCTTTGAGCACGCTACGAATTTATTTTAGCACAATCAGTTATTGTATTGGTTTCTTCTCTCTAACACACGTGTATTTCAATATAGGCGATGTTAAAGAATTATCACTCAAAGCAAAAGCATTGTTTCAATCAAACTTGGCATCCATGGAAAGAACACCATAAGTTAGAGATGACAAATGCTTAGCACTAAATCATCTAAGAAATCCTTTCCTCTTCAATTTCTATGGCTTTCCTTGGTGACGTACAGCTTATGAACATCACTGACAAAAAAAATGGGAAAATAGCTATTGAACATCTGAAAGTTGTCGTACAGAGAAGTAGCAACAGTTTTTGTTGTTCTTCAAGAAAAAAATAAGGTGTGTACATGAGACAAGAGGAGCATTCTCTCCATCACTTTGATCTTGGGGAGGTTTCTAAAATAATCCGGACGTATGACAGAGCTGTGTGTAAACGCACAGAAGACACTTAACTTGAAGGAAAAAAGGAACAAACAATGATTTGTTTTACAGACAATCCAGTTGCTAGATCCACATGATCCCAAATATCCTGCAGTCTGTGTTGTCACCGTGACCATGCAGGCCTAGTTGGCCCTGTTCCACGAACACATCTGAACTCAGCTAGTTACCCGGCAGTACTAGTGAGCAACACTTCCCACACTGCCGAGACGTGTTCAGATTTTTTTAAGTTTTCCTTTTCATTACTCAGGCTCCTAGAAATTTAGCACCAAAACTGTGTTGCAAGCCCAAAGTTTTTAAGTTGTTCTTTGGATAGCATAAAAAGCACCAAAAATGAAGTCATGCACGAAGTGTTTTTATATGGAAATTCAGAAAGCTACAAGATCCCAAGATTGACTTTACAGGTAAGAAGAGAGCTAAAAAGCCTTTGCCTGACCAATATGAAGATTGGCATGGAGATTCATATAGTGACAACCTATTTCTGTACAAGTCTTTGCTTGGACCAACAGTTTGAAATAAGCCTGATTAAAATCTGCTCACCTCAAACACAGGTAAATCATGCACACGTGTAATCTGTATCTTAAGATTTATAACTCTTAGCACAAGGTAAAACATGAACTATTATGAACTAACAAGTGAAAAGTTACTTCCCTGAGGGCTACAACAGAAGCGACTCTGACCACACAAAAAGTTTTGAGGTTATGCAGTGCAGGAAACACACATCTCCCAAAGTTGTTGTTGCTGCCTGGCTAACAGAGCACATCACATACGATCTCTATAATATTTTCTTCTCAACTTTGCAAGCTTATCATTGACATGTATGAAACCTCATGCTAAGAATTATTTGGACTTTCATTTTAAGCTTGCAGGAAAGCACAGAACCTCCTCATAAGACAGATGAGTGAAGCGAATGCCAACAAACTGTAAAACAAGATTACGCGGAGCCATCTGTTCAGCCATGGAGCCTGTTGATAAGTCTCATCTCACACAGACTGCTGGTCTGACACGGGCCAGAGTCTACATGTAACAGGTATAAACTACTCTTTCCTTGCATTCCTACCTCACGCTTCCAAAACTTCAAGCAAAACCTACGTTGCCTTCGCATCCCCAGTCCAAGGTTCAGTTGGAAACGCACGCGTTCTTGATAGGACATACAACAAACTTTTACAAGCTCTCTGGAAGGAGAAGGTGGCGAGCTGGACATCACAAGCCGTGCAATGCCTAGCCCAGTCCAGCCTCACCACAACGTGGAGGCGTTTGAACTCAACAGCCTTGCGAACAGCAGAAGGCTTTCTTCCAATTCAGCATTC